ATGTTTGTCTTTAATTCTTCAAGCCAGTACCGTGTCACACACAATGTCACAGACTCAGACAGGTAACTAAATTACGAATCAATCAAACAATAGTTTCCACTGACATGATCATGATGATTGACAGCTGTCTTTACTGGTTGTGGCCTAGACTAATACACTGGGTACTTCCTATTACTATGGTTCATCAGTCATGGCATGTTCTTATCTTTTCTTGAGTAGTATATAAGGAATTTCGAACCCTGTCGATTGTGATTATTGAAAAATCCGACACACCCTCCTTTCTAGCATTCTGTATTTCAAAGTGAAATCCATGCGCTATGCTTGAGTCATGTGCTTGAATAAGAGTACTGGGGTATAATGCAAGGAGAAGTAACACTGCTTATTCAACCATGAACAGTATGTTTGACATGGTCAATGACTCAGTTACATGACTGAGTCACTTAGTCTAGTCTGTCAACAGATAGCCTGGAGACATGTCTAGCCAGTACATCTGGAATATGACATGGGTCATCTACTTGATCAGCTTGTTTAAGAACATGTTCCTCTACTTGAGTGGATGTGAAGGGGGATGGTCTGGGTACAGCATCAGTCAGTTAATTATTCCTTCTGTTGTGTTTGTCGTCTGTATAATCCTGATGATTACATAAGTGCACACACCCTTAGATTACTGGTGTTATCATGCTGATACGAATGACTGGTTAGTCAACACAGGTAGACACCTCGGTCATATCTAACTTGTAGGTTGTCCTTCGCTCATTCAGACTAGTTGTGGCTCATTTAAAATATCTAGATTTCAGAAGCGAACAATTAGTCCCTCTAGATTTTCCCAAGTCTTGGATTAGCAGACAAGTGAGTGTCTAAGTCTGTTAGAGCTGAGCAGCCATCCACAGTGCTCAAGTATATGTACTGTTTACAGATCCATGTTGAAACAATGCCATCTACTGTATTTCCTCTTTTTAGAGCGTCTCCCCTAAATGTCAATTTATTTATTACTATAGTGGAATTTGACCAGTTCGGACTCATTGGGACCGATAAAAAAGTCTGGTTTATGGCGCTGTCCAGTTGACACAGAGAACAAAAAGTTGGACTGAAGACAAAACAAAAAGCAATGATCTTTCATTTTTTTTTGAATATACATTCATTGTATATTAAAATATTGCTAGGTCTGTCATAACATAAACATTAGTAACATTCTTTACTTAAAAAGTGTCTTTTGCCTATGTTTTTTAAGACTGCTTTTCTAAATTGTGTCCTCAGTCTTTTGCACAAGCCACTCATATTTTAACATTTATCCATTCGAGACACAAGTGATTTCAATAGCAGCTTACGTTACCATGCATTGAACGCTGTAATAACTCCTCTATCAAGTGGCTGCATTAGACAGGCGCAGTTAGGGACCAGTTCAAAAGTTTGATGTTAGATAAAATACTTGATTCATTAAGTTTTGAGGCATACCCCCCAACCCCACCCAAAAATTTAATTAAGAAATACATGTACTCCAGGACATGACCTCTTTTTTCAGGCATTCTTATGATTTTCATACAGCTTTTAGGTCTTATGACTATATATACTCTGGTCCTACGACTAATATACAGTATGCTGGATTTAAAAAATATTGGCTGACTGAGGCTATTAACCCAACTAAAAAAGCCTTGAAAATGACATGTGAAATCCTTGTGTAAAATACGCATCAGAAATGCAGAAATACGCAGTAAAATAATATCCAAGCATATCAAATACGCAACAAACATTACAGATACGCTACAAAAATAAAACTTGTGCGTATATTCAAAATATTGTGAAGTAACCCTGCGTATTCGATTGGCAAATCAGCAACTTATTTTGAAATTATAAACGGGCATTCCGTCAACCTTGCCAAAACTCCACGATGACAGTTACATCATGATCATTTGCCATCACACTTTCTTGTGGAAGTATCGTGGTATTTTTGGGTTCTATAAAGCTCTTGAACCCACACAACACCAGTTTGCAGGGACTAGATGAATAGTGTTTTTAAATATTTCACTTAAATACCCACATGTGTAAAAACTAGTGGGTAACAGAAATTTGAATACCCAGATAGAATAGCTGATACGCAGTGATTTTAAAATGCATGGGTAAAATACCCACAACACCAAAAGCTTATCTGGAGCTCTGGTGAAGCCCATTTAAGGTGTCCCCTGCCTTGATATCGCTGGAATATTGCTAAAAGGGCGTAAAACCATACTCACTCACTCACTGGTAATGACAGAAGCACATTAAATTTATGAACGTTAAGATCACAATAGAACTTTCCTTTGAGATATAGTTGCCGTAACTTGACATACGTTGAACAAATAAGCAGGAAGTGGTACTCGGTTTCAACACAATATGTCATGTTATTAAATTCAGTGCTAAATATGAACTAGACAGATACATTAAATGAATCATTAATTTAGTATCAATATTCATAAAATTTGTATCAATTCAGGATCGATATTTGTATTGCTCCTTGGGCTAATGAAGGTCATGTAAATTATTTAAAGGTAGGAGGGTCCGACCTTGCAGAGGTCATGTTGCCTTATACACACAGATCGGTTATCCTGTTATGTAATGACAATATGACTGCTACAAGCAAATCCTCCTGAAGTGTAAGCCAGATAAGTATATACTTTAAATAGGGGAAGTGTAAATATGATAATCATAATCTGACAGATTAGTAGGTCATGATGTAACCAAGATAAACCACTTATCCAAACTTTTAACACCAATACAACAATCATTCAACAGAACAATGTGACCCAACCCCCACCCAGCCCCTTATCAGCAAATCTGGAAACAGTGGGTGTAGCATGGGTGTAGCGTAGTATGTTTTGGTTCATGGAAACGCACATGCCAAAAAATGTTTTGGTTAACCAATCAAATGCCATGGAATCACTTGCAATTTATTTCTAATTAAACAGTTTAGATTAATTAACAGCCCAAGACATGTATATAGACCCACACTGTTATATAGAACCAAATTTGTAAACAGAAGTTAAGAGTCAGTGTTCCCGTTTACCGGTAATTACCAGTTTTTTTACCAGTAAAATTCGGCTTGGACCAGTAATTCAGGTGATTGCCAGTCCCTCTGGACCGGCAAATAAAGTACCTTATCAATCTTTGATGCTGAACAAAACATTCGTGATATTCATCATATAAGTACATTTTTCAAACAAAGTCAGCTTGTCTGTTACCATCAGTGTTTCCCCTTGTCTATTTTTATTGCAAGGAAAAAACATTTTGCTTTGTTTTGAGGTTAAATATCCATTTGTAGTGACTTTGTCTCGAAATTTTAAAAAAAGGAGTAAATTGTGACTGAAGTGTGAGTGAGTGAGTGAGTGAGTGAGCATGGTTTTACGCCGCTTTTAGCAATATTCCAGCAATATCACAGCGGGGGACACCAGAAATGGGCTTCACACAATGTACCCAAGTCGGGAATCGAACCCGGGTCTTCGGCGTGACGAGCGAACGCTTTAACCACTAGGCTACCCGACCACCCCGACTGAAGTGTGAATGGTGTATAGATCTATTTAAGTTACTTCAGAGATGTCATCTTTTCACTGAACATGATGTTGAAAGAATTAAAACCAGGTAATTTTCATACATTTTTTTATTTGTTGAAAGTTGGGACTGCAAATAATGGCGGGGGGTGGAGGGGAGGGGAACTGGTAATTATTAGAGCTGCCAGTCCACTAGAACTGGCAGTTTCAAAAGCCAGCGGGAACACCAAGAGTGTGCAACACCTCTGTGATTTGTACTATAGGCCTGTGGCCTCTTTGTCTGCTTGAATAGAGATTGATTGATAATTTATTTCTTACATGTTAACGCTGTGGGGGCATGGCTGTATTTGCTTCTTGCAGTCTGAATCAGGTGTAACCAGGATGTATTTCTTGTTGCAAGAACTAGTCTGAATACGTTGTAACCTGGGTGTATTGCTTGTTGCAAGGTGACCAGTCTGAATACGTTGTAACCTGGGTGTATTGCTTGTTGCAAGAACTAGTCTGAATAAGTTGTAACCTGGGTGTATTGCTTGTTGCAAGGTGACCAGTCTGAATACGTTGTAACCTGGGTGTATTGCTTGTTGCAAGGACTAGTCTGAATAAGTTGTAACCTGGGTGTATTGCTTGTTGCAAGGACTAGTCTGAATAAGTTGTAACCTGGGTGTATTGCTTGTTGCAAGGACTAGTCTGAATAAGTTGTAACCTGGGTGTATTGCTTGTTGCAAGGACTAGTCTGAATAAGTTGTAACCTGGGTGTATTGCTTGTTGCAAGGACTAGTCTGAATAAGTTGTAACCTGGGTGTATTGCTTGTTGCAAGGACTAGTCTGAATAAGTTGTAACCTGGGTGTATTGCTTGTTGCAAGATGACTAGTCTGAATAAGTTGTAACCTGGGTGTATTGCTTGTTGCAAGAACTAGTCTGAATAAGTTGTAACCTAGGTGTATTGCTTGTTGCAAGATGACTAGTCTGAATCAGTAATATCCTGGGTGTATTGCTTGTTGCAAGGACTAGACTGGATCAGTTGTAACCTGGGTCTGTTGTTTGTTGCAAGGTGACCAGTCAGATTGAAAGTTGCCAAGGTAACACTACTAACAGTTTCTATTCATCGATATGAGCATGCTGCAATAATAAAATGTCCAATTTTCGCCTTTCAATAACTTGCTTCAAAATAGCTTGACAAAGGGCTGAAGTGGTGCCTTTTGCTATTTAGGAATTTAGAAAATACTAAGTTTTCCTGTTTCCATGTCAACAAGTTCGACTTTGACTCTGTTCATAGTGGTGTTTGTCTGGAAGATATCTTTAAAATTAATAGGTATTCTTTCTTGAAACTGTGCACACATAAAGACCAGGTTGCCAGATGGTGCTACTTAGGGGTGTTTAGAATTTATATTTCTTTCCGTTTCCATGGCAACAAGTTTGACTTTGACTCTGTTCATGTATGTCCCTGATGTCTGTATGTCCGGTTTCTGCGGTTACAGGTGGCAAGTTGCTGGGTGGTGTGGTGTTGGCTGGCCTGGCCGTGGCTGCAGGTGTGACGTTGCTGGGGCTGAGTGTGGTGGCGCTGCCTGCTATCGGGGGATACAGGTACCACAAGAGGAGGAAGAGGAGGCAGCTGCAGCGATACTTCTCACGCATTAACAAGCAGGAGCGTGTCTACAGACTTAACACGGACGGTGAGGGAGATGGAATATTATTCCCAACAAGGGCTCGCTTAGCTATATAAAAAATGCCACTGAAAAATATTGTGCATGTGATAGGTTTTTTTCTATTTTATTTGGAGTGATCTTATTTCCAATGATAAAGTAAAAAAAAGTAAAACATATATCACAAAACACAGCAAATTTTTTTTGTTGACTTGTGATAAAACTAGGGTCAGTTTTTATTTTGGTTTGTTGTTGTACGCCGCACTCAGCAATATTCCAGCTATATGACGGCGGTCATAAATAATCGAGTCTGGACCAGACAATTCAGTGATTTACACTAGGGTCAGTAAAGATAACATGATTAACAAAAGATAAATGTGACCCACTGAAATTAAGGGACCTTACGGGTGAAAAGTAACAGGTTTTCAAATCTCGGACGGGAATAAATTAATATCATGTTCTCTTTTAAAACCATAAGCAGAAGTTTTAGCAAAATCTTTCCTTCTCTTTTGTTATTTCTAACAAGTTATGATCCTGTTAATTGTACTGATGCCTTCATAGCATGGATAGTGTACACTTTTTTGTAGTTCTGTTCATTTGAGGTGAACGAGAGAAATGTTTAAATAACAGATGGTGTTTTGAATTAATAAAGGAAATTTGTAATTGACAGTTTGCTCTTCATCTCCTATTTCAATAATTATAATTATCACACCTCAAATATTTCTGCAGTGCCCCCAGTCACACCGGCTGAGATGATGGACGAGTCTGAGGACGGGACCCAGAATAACCCAGAGTGGGTGGTCCTGGGGGTCCAGCTGCCAGACTCGCGCCAGGTGGAGGTGCTGGTGCACCGACCAATCAACTCCAACTCCGATGGTGAGGAGCAGACGTACAGGACGGAGATGACCCAATCTGACGAGGCTGGGAATGAGAACGCTGTCATCACCCTGACTGATGTTAAAGAAGTAACTGATGAAGATGGATACACACGAGTCATTGCACATGTTGTGTCGAAGATGGCAAAGGATGACAACTCTGCCCATGAAGAAAATGACGACAGTGATTCTAGTGTGCAGACTGATTTGAAGCAGGTGTCTGAAAATGAGCTCAGTTTTTCATCAGATGAAAAACTTTCAAAGACAGAATCCAAAGGCTTATCCTCAGAGGGTGATTCAAAGCCAGTGTTAAAAACAAACCGTAAAGAGGAAAAACAAGATTCCAATGAAGAAGAAGTTGAACTCGAGGTGAAGGAAAGTAACGGATGCTTTGCAAATATATTCTCTAAGAAACTGAATTCGTTGCAAAACACTGCTCATGATCTTCAACAGGGCAAGTTTCAGAGCAGCCAAAAAGGATCCTTGAAGAGCAAATCGGGAACATGGGACAAAGGCAGGAAAAAAGATGTTAACAGTATCGATATCAAATGTCTTTCAACACTGGTGACAGCACCATGCTCTGAGAGCAGGGGAGGGAAATCCCGCGAGGACATGTGTGCAAGTGATAAGCTGGAGACAGGTCACCCCGACCCGTGTGAGTGTCACAGTGTTAAACATGAAGAGGTGGAGTGTTGTGACCGATGTCACAGTGCCCCCCAGGGTCATCCGTACCCATGTGATGTTGTTACGTATTTATGATTGTCTTATGATCAGATCAAGCCGCGATAATTATACAGGAGGTTACTGTAGCTTACATTGGACAAATGCATTGCTCCAAGTGCCATAGTCACGTAGATTTTTACTATATGCATGAATGTCTGGTTAAAAAGAGGATATAATTTCACATTGCAAAATGAAGACATTACGAGGTCTATCATTTGTTCATGTCTCCAACTGTAAAAGTGTCTGGTGGCCATGGCAACCTAGGACTTTATCCTGTTGTACAGGTAGTTTCCAGCATACACAGAGGTACAAGGTGTTGCTACACTTGCTACATGTTCATGATGATGTAGTAAAGTATTGGTTTTATCACCATTATTAGGCCAGACTAATTGTTTCCAAGATTTTGGGTGAGCCTTCATAAAATATAGCAAAACTGTTATGTTTATTTTTCTTTGATTTTTGTTATGACGTTAACATGGTTAATTCAAGAGTTTTTAGAAATGTACCCCAAGCAGTGTTTGAAAGCAAGGGGGCCCTTGTGTTCTGTGGTATTTGGGTCTAGGCAACCCCTACCTCTTTAACTATTATCATCACATGATCATTGGGTTATGACAAGGACCCTTTGACTTTCATGGTTAATTTTGAACACTACCAAGAATCAACTCGAAACATATTTGTTTGTAATATTTCATATGCATCGTGCAGGGCTGCCAATTGTCCCAAACATTTTGTATTTGTTATCAATTTGCAACATAAATTCTTCCTCAATACAAATTTTATAACAATCTATGGAAAAAATATCACAAGGTCTAAACACATGCTAAATGTTCATAGACACTGGTTGTTATTTAACCTAACTCAGTCTACTATGAGCGTGTGTTGTTTATTGTTAAATCTGTCCAGTCGAGACATCAACTGAGTTTCAGAATCACATGGCTGTGTTGCACTTTCAACGATTCACTGCTGTTAAAATTATTAGAAAATGGAATCTAAGGCTAGCAAGGGAACACACTCCCACACCCCACATTACCAACACAAGTATAGCAGGCTTTGGTGTCCCGATAAGAAGATAAGTACCAGTTTTGGTCTCCCCCAAAATGGGGTCCCCTTGGAAGTGGTAGCTGCGGGTTCTACTGCTACAGAGCATCCTTGTGGGGATGGGTAATGTAGGTTTGGGGGATTTGGGCGTCACGTTATTGCATATTTTGTATATGGGACACTGCAAAAGTAAACGCTGAAATATTAATTGTAATTTGGGAAAGTTGGCAGCTGTGACCTTGACATTTGAACTTAATGAAGCAAAGAAAACTTTAAAACAAAAACAAAAAACAATCTGGCCTGGCTGTATGAAAATAATAAGTATGTAGTTTGTCTGTGGTAATTCTCTTGTACATTTATCATGGCTTGAATGACAATATCTATGGTACCATTGTGTGATATTGTTTCTTATGTTATTATGGTCTCGGAGTGAAGTTTGTTTATGTAGTAACCATAGTATCGTCAGAGTTAGTTGGAGGGGGGCAGATATGATAAAGTGTTTTTTCTAAGCTTGCCAAAAATGAAGGATGTCCATGTGACTTTAAGTTGACCCTTTCCACATATACAAGTGTATATCTTTGAACATTTGCTGAAAATATTTGGATTTGTTGATTTAATGTGCCTTTATCATATATTGGTCATCTAATCTTCCAAAACTTGGGTTTAGTTTTTGAGTAAAATATTTTATTTATTACTTTATCATGTTATATTTTACACTTTTATCCTCATCATCATGTTGAAGTATTGCATCAAGTTTTACTGTGAACGAGATTAAGATGTGTCCTGTTTTTTTCTTTACTGAAACCATGCAATAAAATTGGGTCCATATTGTGAGCTTTCGTTATGGTTTTTGATAATGTATTAAAGACAACAGCTTGAGCTTGTTGACATGTCATAGACTAAGGCTGAACACTGACTCTCATGTAGGGATGTGGGAAATCTGTATGTCTTAAGCATGTTTAGTCTAAGCAAGGGGATTGGAATAACTAGCTTTATCTATGTCCATTTGTTCTATTTTGCCATACCAGTTGCCAGTTTACTAGTAGAGTAAATCATGGGATGAAAATTTGAGTCAGTTTGAATGTTATTTATTAAATCAAGTGACAATGTTTTAAGCATGTTAATATATGCTTATTGCTGACTTTGAAGAGCCCTCTGAATGGGTCCTGCTCATGCTGCAGACTTTACTGGTAAATATTTTGTAGCAGTACAGTGGCAATCATGTAAAATGAACCACTTGGGCCACAACACATTGATCTTGTTGATAACTATTCTTTGAATGATTTCCAAAAGGGATGTCAGTGGATCGTTTCTCCTAGTTCCTGCTGTCTGTTTTTTATGGTTGGAGTTTAAGACAGTAGCCACATTAATCTAAACAAATGTTAATTTTCATAAATCTTGCAAATGAGAAGGATTCTTTTCCAAGGAGGTATTACAAGATCAAAATATTATAATTTGTCCCTTCTCATCATGATCACAAATATGACGTTAATTGTCACCAGTAAAAATATGAATTTACTAATAACTCAACAAGTGATCAGCTTGTTGTGGCCTCGATGGTTTGGTGATAATGTCATGGGCTAATTACATCTTGTACAGTAGAGTTGTTACAAATCAGAAATGTACATTAACTTTTATTCAGAATTGGATTATGATGTTTGAAAACCCACCTGTAAAGCTGTATCACAGCTACTTGCCACATGAGTAACAGCTGGCTCGATCAGCACAACGTGTCATTCACTGGGAGCACTCGGAGTTGTATCGGCAGGCCCATGTGAAAGGTTCAAACTTGAGATTTTACAGTTCTTATTTTCTTACTTTCAAGGGTATTTTCACATTGAAGTTTGACCATGCATTCAATGCATGAATGTAAAATTGAGCTTTAAAGCTACTGCCTTTTTATTTGGTGTAATTAGTGAGCTACAGGTCACCCCGACCAAGCCATCACATTAGCTATACATGTGTAACTGTATTAACATGAATTGGGAAATGTTTCATTCTCTTTCGGTGATTTTTACTGACATTTGCTGCAGGTTTGGTGCTGAATATTGGCCTTTGAGCAGTTAGATAACTCCTTGCCTCATACAAATGTTCTCTTTCATTAGACTGTTGGAGCTTGATTTGTTTCGGTATTACATACACAGAGCTCAGGTTTTGTTAGTTGTATGTCTGAGCAGTTGTGGCTTATGGCTTACCAGGTGATGCGTTGCCTCCAGAAGTTATTGCAGGGGACTGCACGTCACAGATTTTCTTGGTGATATTGTCCTATGAGTAGTATTCAATATTGCTTTGGAGTTTTCAGTTTCATTTCAAGTTATTATTAATGTCATTAAAATCAGATCTTTGTGCTCTCTACCACAACACAACCGCCTTTCGTGAACTTTGACCAACCAATGAAATGACTATTGGGAAGTCAACATTAGCCAATAAGAAAGCAGCTTTCTCAAGCTTTACTTCTAAGCAATTTTCTGATTGATGGGCATTGTGATGTGACCTGTAATGGGATGTTGCCAGATCTTAGGTTAACTGTAACAAGCACTAGGGAATTTTTAATATTTGAAAGTATGTACCCAACTGTTGCATGTAATTGATAATTCTTTCATCATAAATGAAATAGACACAATGCCGCTGCTCTTGAATAAGCACTAGGTTACGTAGTTTAGTAACAGTATGAAATATCTTAAGATCTCTAAACGAAAGATGAATATTACATGATATAAAGTGGTGCTGACACTGCACTTTTTGTCCTTGAACTGAGTCTGCCTGTGAAATGGGTAACTTAGCCTTGTAAGTCTGTTGGATAGAAATACTGAGAGTTACTCTACTAAAATTACATTGTTGAACTAAGTACACAATGAAGACTGCCAGTATGACCAATTTTACAGAAAAACCTCCATGATGTTTTTGTTTCAGTGGTTGTGTACAGCGCAGCCAAATTTCTGGCATCGCCTTCCTCATCTTTGTTGATGCTTGACTACTTGTATTGGATGTTGCAATGACTGCTGTTCTTTTGGGATATTTCCGAAATACTCCATATCTGTCAGGAGACAGAATAATGGTGATTGGGAGATCATAGGTGGCCCAGTCATCTTTGACACCCCAAGTCACTATGCAGAGTTGTGTCCCTTTGGCAAATTGTCCCTTTTCCAGAAATATGATCATGGGTTTAAATCCAAGATTATACTTCTCAGTTTGTCAGCACCAACCTGTGTTTGTGGGTTTCACTTGAGGAGACCTGCATTAATTCAGCTTTCCTCCCACATCAAGCTGACTGGCCATGATATAACTGAAATATTGTTCAAAGTATGGTTAAACCCATCTCACCCACTCATTATAATGATTATTGCCATAGTGAAGTAGGTTGAATACTTGACCACCAGAGAGGATAATATATGAGCTGTGACAGGATCAAGATGTCATTGGATATGGCTTGATGTTGTCAGGCTATTATTATTCAAGATGGGATAAAGCTTCTTCAGATTTTGCTTCAAAGTGATTTAATCAGCACTCACCTGCTGCAATAATCGATGTCCCAGGTGGGTGGACTGTTTTCTGTGGTAGACACACAAGATGTAGGATGTCACATTCTGGTCTTTCAGTAGCTGTTGCTGGGTTACAGTATGTCGTAGTGTTGATTTTCCTCTCATATAAATGATTAAATATTTTACAGAAATGTGTGTTTTCTGTTGTCACTATTTATAGACACAACTTACGGGTGTTTAGTTTTCATTACGATTGAAAAGGTCCGACTTGCATCTTGTTTGAAAGGATATCACCATACCCTGATGGCTTGCATCGTTGTCATAATATTAATCACTGGATTGCCTGGCCCAGATTGCATTAATTACAGGGCTCAGTCATACAGGTGGAATGTTGCTGAGTGTGGAGCTGAGGAAAAGTCATACTTCTGTAGGGGCGGTCGGGCAGCCTAGTGGTTTAAGCGTTAGCTCGTCACGTGGAAGACCTGGGTTCGATTCCCGACATGGGCACAATGTGTGAAGCCCATTTCTGGTGACCCCCGCCGTGATATTGCTGGAATATTGCTAAAAGCGGCGTAAAACAATACTCACTCACTCACTCATACTTCTGTAGGAATCTGCTGGAACAGTAGGGAAACCTGTGTATAGGAGGAATCATCCTTGATGGTCCAGAGTATTATATCCCCATTCTGTGATAAATACCCTGGACACTCACTACCACAGATTTATCTAGGAAGTGAAGTCACCAGCTCCATCTCTCATCAGTAACTTCACCCAGCATTATTCTAGCTAAAGCCTGAAACACACTAGCTTGTGTTTGTGTATTTAGGTATAAATTATTCTTATCCGAAAAAATCGTTTTGAGACAAGGTATTCACAATACGCATACCCAGAACGCATGTGGACATACGCATATGTATTCGCAAACAAGCACTCACTCTGCAATATGCCAGCAATATGACAGAGGTTTAAATAATCAAGTCTGGATCAGAAAATCCAATGATTGACATCATGAGCATAGGTCCACACAGTTTGGAAACGATGACCTGTAATCAACCAGGTCACCGAACCTGACGCCGGATCCATTTACATGTAGTCACCTCTAACGAGAAGCATGGATTACGGGGACCTATGATCTTACGCGGAATTATTGGATGACTGCTATTTTATGTCACATATTTTGAATTGGATCATAAAAACAAAGCCATGCTGGGCATATATTAAAAAATAGAATTGAGATATGTAACATAGAAGAGTTATATTAACGTTACAATGACATAACGAAACATTGACTGAAGTGTCGTAAAATGTCTTAATCTTTCATCAAACAAGACAATACCATGGGCCCCAAATATTTAGTGAATTGGCCATGACAATACCAAATGTATTTTTTTTCAAGACTCCCTCGTTGATTTGCGCATTATACCGATTGATACACATTCACAAGGGTGTATTTCCTAAAGTGGAAAATTATTAAATCCATGCATCACCGCCCAGCATAGGTTATTAGAAGACGAACACGGGCAAATTCGGACAAATGTGAATGTGTAAAGGGACACAACCCATTCCAGCATATAATTCTGCCGCCTGACGTTCGTATTTCCACTGCAATCGCATTGAAATCAGATCGAGTGCTCAAGGGTAGATCCAACATTTTTAAAAGGGAAGGGTAAAAAATATCAAAAGCGAGATTGTCTACAACATACTACTGGATCCTCCGATGTCATATCGCAACGAATTGTAAATTAAATTTGCTGAAAAACAAGTTGTGATATTTTGTAGATATACAAGGTTGTTAAATGGTGATTATGTTCCAAGCCTATGGCAAAGCGTAATGATACAAGAGAGTAGTGGTAGATATGACAAACGCTCAATCAACTGAGTGCGGCACTGAAATTTACACGCGCCCTGAAATCTGGTGTTGCGTACGGACCTGTCAATCCGATTATGATCCTTGATTTATCAACACCATGCCCAGACTTGTGTAGCTTTCATGTAAGAACGGGGCGGTCGGGTAGCCTAGTGGTTAAAGCGTTCGCTCGTCATGCCGAAAACCCGGGTTCGATTCCCGACATGGGTACAATGTGTGAAGCCCATTTCTGGTGTCCCCCGCCGTGATATTGCTGGAATATTGCTAAAAGCGGCGTAAAACCATACTCACTCATGTAAGAATAATTGTTAGGTTAAAGTAAATAAACTACACCATTTCTTAGCCACAGGTTAAAATAGGCATCAAACACCTTGAGTCTGCCAACCCCCTCCTGGTACGCGGGATTCGGGGGTCTGTTTAGGGGGGATATACGTGATTCACCTATGTGGTACGCGGACCGCAAATAAAATCATTTGTTACGCACACTCAACATACAAGAAACATAATGGTGTATGTAAACATATCCATTATAGATTTTCTTTTGCCAGTAATTCAACTACGAATCTCAACATTTTGTGACCTTGGAACATGTTGTATAGGTTTCCGTCTGTGATCGATATTCGGCCTTTGAAGAGTGAATTATGTTTTATCCCCCGCCACGCAGTGAAAGGGGAATACAGGAATGGGTGCTGTCCATCCGTCCTACCGTCCGTCACGTTTCGTTTCCGGAGCAAAACTCCAAAACCATGAGACAGACATATCTTCACATAGATAGATCTAGTGGTGAACTGGTACCATTTGATAGTTTGGGATTTTGAAAAAACATTATTTTTCGAGTTTCCATAGCAACGACTTTGATTTAGACTGAAAAAGGCGGTTGTTCTCGTTTCCGGAGCAGATCTTTAAAACCGTACAATATATCTTCACCAAACCTGCCACATGGTCTAGTGATGAACTGGTGCATTTTGATATTGTTATTCAAAAAAATATTTTTCGAGTTTGGGGTAATGCCTTACACACAATCGGACATGTTATATTGGTGAGGGGGTATGAACACTAGTATTTCATGCTTGTTGTGGTTTGTGTGAATTATAGCAAGCTGGATTCATGTGAGACTAGGGAATTAGAAAATTCGATGGTATTGGGGATTCAGGGGAGAGGGGTTCGCATCCTTTATTGCTTCCGCAAAAAGCGCCGTAAATCGATTGGCTGGTCAGACACGGGTGACGGTTGATTGAGAGTCCCCGGATCCCGACCGCGTGAGACCTTGTTCATAATATCAACCAATGATTTTTCTGGCTTAGATTGGAATCCGGAAAGTTCTGTGCTTGAGGAATCCCACATCAGCTTCTATTTTGTCCTGCAATTTGTCTGGCGCAGTTATGATAGTCAAGGGGCTTAACCAACTTATTGTTACAAGGTGGATAGCACCAACTTTCACACACAGATACAGTCCCCATACTGATTACTTTTGGGATAGGAACCACCTTGAAATATATTTGTCACTTCCGGTAGTTACTAAAATCAAATATGGCTGCCAAATCACTTTTACTGCAATGTGAAAAAAAGTGAAAAATTTAACCTTACTCACAAATATGACCTGTTATATATCAAATGAAAGATATTTTCATACACTGACTGATACTGTGGTTGTATTTCTGAATAGATGGGGGAAAAAAGAAAATGTTATAAAAAATTGTTTTTAATAAATTCGAAAGCTACTGGAGACAGACGATGTCATTCAGTCAGTCAGATGTAGCACAAGTTTATATGACTACAGTTAAGAACATTCGCATCTGCAAAGTGATGTGCAGTCCGAATGAGCTCTAACACATTTTGTTATCGCGCATTTTGATTTGCATGTACACTTGGTGACTTTCATACATGTCTTAGTCACCTCTGGGATTGTAATCCAAACTGGATCCCATGAGAATACGTCACAGGGGAACTTCCCGAAAGTCCGCGGAATACGCTGACCAATCCATTACGTTTTCTTACATTATTGTGTTATCATTCGTTAGAACTGAGACGTTTGGGGTTTATACAATCGGATGAAGGATCTGTTCACTGGCACCAGTCAATGGTCCATTCTCTTGATGTACAGCCCAGTTGATACATCTAAACGTATTCCTCCCCAAACAATATCTCCACAACACCTACCATTCTCAGCAACAGCAGCATGCACAGCGTTCGTTTTTGATAATTAAAAGACAGGGTTGACGTCCACTGTGGAAATCAGCCTAAACAGATGCGTGACTCATCGTTGGAATCAGGTTCACGATGTTCGCATACAGACATGGCCGCACATTAAAATACACCAATGTCTGGCAATGATAGTAAATGATTTAAGTGGCAAGAACATTTCCGACGAAATCAAGACATTTACCATTGTCGCTCAGACTCGGCTGTGAGGAAACGCATATTGTTTTCTTGGAACCAAAAGCTTAAAGACACTTTATTAAACACAATTCACTATTTAGGAAGCATTGATCATCCGACGTTTGCATCGTCCTGAACGTGTACGTGCCGTGCATGATGCAGGTTGACACACGTCAGTATATTGATGCCCAAACGCTGCATGTCTCTCAGTCTGTCATCGTTAGATTTTGGGCCCGACACCAACTAACACATAACGTCGATGATCGACGCCGCTCTGGGCGCTAAAGGGCAACAACTCCAGCCCAGGACAGATTAGTCAAAACGATGATATTAAGAAATCGGTTGCAAACTGCCACTCACATGAGGGACAGGTTGCAACAGGTGTAAGAGTGCATGCCCAGACGGCATGCACCGATGGCATTTGCGTGCACGTCCCCCGCGCCATTTGAATCAGAGACGTCAGTGGTGTAGGGAACGTCAGCACTGGGATAATCGACGTTGGGCTAAAGTCATGCTTTGTGACGAATCGATGTTCATTCTCGACTTCAATGACCGACATAACCGAGTTTGGAGACGTCTTAATGAACGTTTTATAGACGTTATCGTCGTACAGTATGATCGTTTTAGGGACCGAGAATTTGATATTCAAGGTAGGGGGCAGGATTTTATCGGTTTTGTAGTTGTAGCTGATAAAATATCTAACCGTGATACAAAATCTCCCGACCTCTGTTACGACCTAATGCGTCAGCATCTCATCACACCAACTCATAGAACCCATTAGATTTAATCGCCTTCTCCCCAACAAATGTGTATCATTTCTATTTGCCAATACCAAATAGATCAGAAGATATGTCTTGATGATTCCTACTATGCCCTACCTTTCTGGCGTAGTATCATTATGAAATACGGTGCGTGACCTTCACGTACCCATATTTATCTCGTTTT